TAAACTTAAGTTTATAATTTTTTAGACAAAAAAGATCACCAAATAAAGCGATAATTATCCGTCAATGATTGTGCTCTCTTATATTCTCTGCCAAAAATGACACAATTTAGTTGAACCTTCACCCCCTCCACTAATAGTCCTGATCGCTCGTGTACCCGTCAATTAACTTCTGTTTATGATATTCTAATTACCTCAATATTTGCACAATCCTTCAACTGCTCCTAATAATAATATCTCTTTCCACATTAACTCATCATTACTATTTGCAGCTAAGTAATGTAAACGAATAATTTATAACTAAATTTCAATTCAATTCAAATAAACTTGTCATCGTATGGTAATTTTTAACAGTCAATTGTAATAAAAAAAGAAATTACTATTAAGATTGTTGCAAAATTGCTATCAATTTTATTCAACAAATCTATTTTTTAATTGATTTTAAGTTATTGAGGATAATTTTAACCATAAAAAGATATTCAAATGCATGCGTTTTTCCATTCTTTTTAAAAATTTTCCAAATTTTTGCTAATATTTTGTAGCATTTTATAGCGAAAAGAGATTGATGCTGTTGAAAGATTGAAATGAATATAATTCAAGATAGAACACTGCTCTATTCATATTTAGTATTCTGATAATATCTCCTTAATTAGTTAAAAACACATATCAATTGTACCTTAATCTTTTTGGAATTAATTGAATACAATGAATGCGATAGAATAAAATTTGAGAGGATCATATTTGTTATAAGATATTATTAAATTATTCTATTAAATTAATCAAATAAAATTCAACTCTCCGGTTTATAACATAAAACTTAAATTGAAATGAATTGTTAATTATGCTTCCATTTATGCTTTTACACACAAATACTAGGAAAATAACACTTAGTAAAAATGGTAAAATTACCGGTCAATCATAAAATAATGTTTGCATTGGTTGTTGAATTGTAAATCAGCCAAATGGCCATCAATTGAATGACCATTTTATTGCTCAATCTTTTAAATTGTCCTTCAAATAATGACTTCTTGATAGCGACTGTACTAGTTAACCATATACTGTAATTTATGGAATTTAAATAACTTTAATTTTCATTGCTTCAATGCGAATAATTTTGTATCAGTAATTAAAATGCAATTTTGTATCGTATGAAAATTAAGATTAAAAATTGAATGATTCTTTTGCACTTCAATCCTATCTACTGCTTCTTTTACTCTCTCTTCTCAACTACTATTTAATTAAATTAACTGATAACATTTAGTGGTAAATTTTTAAATCCTATCTTTTGATAATATTGCTGTTCTTAGATATATTTCCAAAAAAAACATAAAATTTTTATTCGTTATTATTTTATTTGTTTTAGAAACAATTGTACATTTTAATAGTGTAATCTTCAACTATTAATTCAAATGTCAATTAATTATAACATAGTAACTTTGATAAATCAATCATAATATTGTCATTTTGATCAATGATTAAATAAATAAATACATTACAGAAAAAGTTATTGGTGCTTTAAATCTAATGCTTAATGGACTTAGTGGCATTAAAAGGATTGAAAATGTTATGAGATTATTAATCACATGCGATATTATCCATTCTTAGCTTTTGTAATTATGAAAATGAAAATTGAATGAAAATTGCTCATTGTGACAATTTAGCATTCATTCGCATCGATATATTAATTTAAGCTAATTCAAGAATTACTTCATTAATTCACTTCCGTTTTCCTCTTTATTTCTATGAAATTTAAAACAGATAACAATTCAGAATTGCAGGATTGATTTCCATGGTGATGATGAAATCAATCGCATAACATCTCTCGCTACATTTATTTCAAAATTTCCATTATTTAATAATAGAATATATGAATAATATCATCTATCATTTCTACTATTTCTTAATTTTAATCGTAATAATTTCCTTCTCTGATTAGCAATTAATAAAAATTGTAAAATTGTTATAAAAAAAATTTTTTTTTTGCAAAAGCAAACGAAAAGAAAGTAAACGGCAATGGAGAGATAAATGACAACTTACATGCTTGTCTTTGTGATTTTGGATAGCAGTTTATCTTTAGGATTGATTTACTATTATTCATAGGTATTAAGTAATAAGTGAGAGAGACGAAAGAAGAAAAAAGATAAAGACAGAGAAAAGAGAGAAAAAGAGAAAGAGAGAAAGAGAGGGAGAGGGAGAAAGGGAGGGATGAAATAAAAGTGAAATGAGGATAAGCTTCTTATATTAACAATTCTTTTAGCCTTAATGCATCTTTTCTTTTGCAATATTTTCTAGCAAAAATATTTGATTAATTTCATAACAAAATTATTTTCAAAATTAATAAATTAAACTTTCTTATGGCACTTTCATTTTAACAAGAACTGATAGGAGTGATACGGTATTTTGCTATGCTATCGTTTATTGGATGATTTAAGGGTTGATGATTATTGCGATGCTCCGCCTTCGAAATTACTTATTGACGATTGTATTGCCATGGATAAGTTGTCGTTTGATTTCTTTTTTCTTTTTCCATTTTTTTTTGAATGATTATATTAAATTAATTTAGGGGTCATGACATTCAGTCTATAAATTGATAGCATTATCAGTCGAACAGAAGCACATCAATCATACTCATTGATTGAATAGTTTTCATAACTGTAATATTTCAAATGAGAAATTTAGAAAATTTATCTACAAGAAAAATTTGAGCTTAATTGTTATACACATATTTTTCAGTTAAAAATTTTTTTCTAGTCAAGAACAATGAGTGTTTTTTATTCCATTTAAATTGATAGTAATATGTTCATTTATTCAAATATAGCAATATTGCTAACATTGTAGCAAAAATTTACATTTTAGCCACTAATTGACAGACTGTCATTGCTAATCTAACTGATTGCAACATTTGAAATAGTCTCTTTTTTTCCTTTGAACAAATTATGCTGCACTTTTATTTTCATTTGTTAATTTATGATTTATCTTTCGGATTTATTTTCAACCACATTAGATTATATAACTATTTCTTATAGCTTCAGTAAATATAAGCGTACTTTTATTTCAGCTCGATAACTCATTTTTATTTTTTTTAATTAAATAAGTGACTTTACTGAATCAAATAAATGATAATATAGGATTTTTATGATAAAAAGAATTCCAATGTCATCGCAATCAAAAATTCAAGTCACTTTGCAAGTGATGGAAAAATAAGTGGTTAATGAGTTATTTTTCTCTCTTTCTCCTTTTCTTTTTTTAATCCATTCATTTGTCACCTTCATTTTGTATATAACAGACATTCAGTTTAATACAATTTTAATAAAAAGTTTTTTAAATTTCGAATAGCAAAATAAAATTCACGAGTCGGTTGCTTTTATTTCAGCATTGCAAAATTTTCAAAAAATTTCTTTTAATTTTATATTTCGAAGTGAAAATAACTTATAGAAATTGTAATTTTCATCTCATAAAATAAAAAAAAGTCATAACGGAAAGCATCATTTTATGTTCCGCATTATTATCTTTGATTAGCTTGTGTAAGGGCAGAAAGTTTATGACACAAATGAATGAATGAATTTATTTCTTTCTTGAAATTATCAATTTTGTTTATTTTGGATAATATCAATGTAAGTAAGTGATAAGTGAGCATCATTAAGATGAACTGTTAGTTTAAAGTAAATAGATGCACTTTCCTGTTTGAAACTATTGATAAAGAGAAAAGTGACATGATAAGAAGATAAGTATTTCAGCTTGTTGTAGTTCATATCAGTTGAGTGCACTCCCGGGATAATAGGTTATTCCGGTACTCGGAATAATGTTTAACATTTTTTTTTCAACATGAATGAAAGGACATGAGCAAACATTACAGCGATAGCATTTGTGCAACAACATCAAAAATCTGCAAATTGAAAAGATCAAATTGTAACAGCTGTGAATATGAGATTCAGCAATCATGAATTTCTAAACTCATTTAAAATGTTATTGCAATTAGTGCAAAACTTTTGCTAATTTTAGCACTTTTCAGGATTAAATTATCAAACATCAAATGGTCTATGGTGCGGTACCATTTAATCCATATGCTCATCTATCATGCCCTTCCGGTACCACAAATACTGCACCAACTTTTGGCTATTCTCCCATACATCCAATGGCACCAATGGGAATGTTTACCAACAGCTATTCAAATGGTTTGTTCAATTTTAAATTTAATTATTTGCAAAAAAATTTCATTAACTTTCAGTAAACATAAACTGAGTGATTTTCACTCCTAAAAACAATTCACTCCTAATTTTTTTTGCATTTCAGGAATGATTCCACGTAAAAATCGAAGAGAACGAACAACTTTTAACAGACAGCAACTTGAAATTCTGGAAAATTTGTTTGCTACAACACATTATCCGGATGTATTTACCAGAGAGAAAATTGCTGAGCAAATACAATTGCAGGAAAGTCGAATTCAGGTTCTCACCATTTATATATTATTTTTTTACTTATATATCTTCCATTATTGGCATTTAAAATAATTTCAATAATTTCAATAGCAGTATTTTGTGAATAAAGACTTAATTTATTTTTTTATAAACAAAAAAGACGAGATCTTTTGCAACGAAAAAAAAGTAATAATAAGAATGATATTATATTTTCAAAAAGTTACCGAAAATGGGTGCCGAAAAAAAAGATACTTCTGGCGGGCATTTGCCACACTTGTCAATCATTGTTTTTGTGAACTTTGTCAAATATAGCAATAGCTAATAACTTGACATATACCAAAAATAGTATAAGAGAGGATTTTTGATTGCGGTAAGGGATATAAATAATAAAAGTAACAGTTTTTATTTTGGTTTCTTTCTATAAGGGATACTGTAGTAACGTTTTAACCGTACTGAATTTACTGATGAGAAACAGTATTACAATATTTTTTGATTTCTTCTTTTTAGCTATAAAATTCAGAAAGGAAAAAAAAAGTTTGCACAAAAAAATCTTGATAAATTCCCAAATTATGCATATTTGCTATATTAGGAAAGTAATTAACTATTAAATGAATTGTATAAGCTAAGATTATAAGTTAACATGTAAGCAACATAATATGTTTACATTTTTTATATTACATTTCAGGTATGGTTTAAAAATCGCCGTGCTAAACAACGACAACAGGAAAGACAAAAACCAAAAGGATCACAAGCAATTACCGATGCTAACTCAGCTTCATATGGTGCTACGAATACTGCTGGCTTGACTGCTATTCATCCAGATTCCATGAGTAACCCAATGAAGGAAGTTTCAAATGGAGCAAAAGAATCTACAGTATCACCAAAATCTCTGGGACAATTTGCCAGTGAACCTGAAACCAAGTAAGCAGTAACAATAACACAGTTGCTGGCATTCCATCAACTTATGAAATATCACAAACAAACTTCTAGTTGGAGCATAACTTTTAAGGAGGTAGTTATTTAGCTTAATTTTAAATTCTTCTAAGTGTTATATGTTTTACTGAAAGTTCGATCAAAATTTTCAGATAATAGTACCTTTGTTTTTTCAGCTCAAAAAATTCCAAAAATTTATCCGGTAATTTAAGAAATTCAATGAAAGCAGAAAAGGCGGAAGATAGAGAACAAGCTTCATGCTCCACCAATCGTTCATTATCGAGAAGTTCTGAGGTGACCGAAAGCTTATGGTCAGAT